TTGCGGTGGCGACGTGATCGCTAGCGGTGTGGGCGGCTGCAGCGGCGTCCTCATGCGTTCGGGGCCTTGCGGCCACGGCATGTAGGGAATGCACGGCGACAGGATAGAGTTTGCCATTCCCATGGCGTTCTGCGTTGCGGCGAAGGCGAACTTTGACGGCGAATTTAACTTAAAACAGAAACGTAGATGAGAAAAAGCACTATAAATGAAAAGGCATCTGTCGCGAAATCCCTATGGAATCAACGTAATTGTAACGTTGCTTTTAACGCTAGTGTGTTGAGCTATTGTTAATGTATGTATGTGAAGCCAAAACACATAGACGATAATAGAAGTCAGATATTTACCATGACTAGATTGCTTTTATTCGGTGAAGATTACAGTGCCTCGGTCGTGCCTGCTAGATGCCCGGTTGCTGACGGAGTCCTCCCCGATACCGCTCGCGCTCCGGCTTTTATACTCACAGGCACGCCCGCGGCGCATGTGTGACTCACCCCCCGGCAGCCGCATTGGTGTCAACAGGCCAATTATAAACCGATTAAGGTCACTAAACCGGCTCACATCGGCGTCAACAGGCCAATTATAAGCCGATTAAGGTCACTAAACCGGTCCAACATCGGCGTCAACAAACCAATTACAAACCGATTAAGGTCACTAGAACGCCGGCGTACGCGCGAGGCATGTATCATGCCTTCGCGTTAACATCGTGATGTGAAGCCGCTACTCTAATTGGTCCCTCATGTGTAGCGCACACCATCCAGACATGAAGCGATATGAAGCCGCTGCTCTAATTGGTCCCCCATGTGTAGCGCGCAATATCCAGACATTAAGCCGTCGGGCGCAATACCTGGACGCGACGTCGCTACACCAATTGGGCCCCCATCGGCAGGGCGCAATATCGCCGCGTGTAATATGTATGCGCTATGCGCTACACTAATTGGTCCCTCATAGGCAGGGCATATTGCCGCGTGTAATATCTATGCGCTATGCGCCACACTAATTAGGCCCTCATAGGCAGGGCATATTGCCGCGTGTGACATGCGCTATATTCCTCCGTACTGCGTCGGCAGGGGGGGGGGAATTAGTGGCTCTACTGGCCTGTAACGCTTTACAGCGTTACACTTCTCCCCCCACTAAACCGATGCCCACAAGTGGACATCGAATGCCAGCCGCCTGGCTGGCCCTACGCATCATGGTACATATACATAATACATAATGGTCTACTGGTGTGGGCCTCGACCCCGCGGCCGCACACCGTACAAAGCTAGTGGTACCCGTAAACCGTAACCCGTAAACCGTATTCACCGTAATATAATAACCCGCAATAACCGCAATAATGCACCGCGCAATTAACGCGGCGAGTAAATGTAACGCGTAAAACGTTAACGTAACGCGTAACGTGTAAATGTAAATGTAATGTTAACGCGGAAGTTAATGCACCGTAATATTAATATTATTCACGCGTTATTAAGGCCCCCCGAAATATGCGCGTGGGCAAGGGCGGTCAGCGTTCCTCCTCCTGGTCGTCAGGGGAGGCGGGTGTCTGCGCCATAGCGGCCCGGGCAGCCATGTCCACCAGGGCCATGGCGGTCATCTGGCGCACGTGCATGGCGTTGAAGGTGGTGTCGGGGCCATCGGCTGCGCTAACCGCGAATTCGTAGCGCAGCGGGTCGTCCGTGGTGTTCGCCCCGACGAAGGAGCCGGCGTACTCCTCGTTGAAGTCATGTCCTTCGCCGGCCCCGAACTGGAGCTGCAGCTCTGGCGGCAGCTCGTCGTCCTCGTCCTCTTCCTCCATGGTGAAGGGGGCCAGCGGTACGTACTGCTCGTAGGCCGCCGACGCGCGGCCGTTCTCCGCGCTGCGGGTCGTGATCGGCGCCGCGCGTGTCTGCGGCGGTGGTACTGCGCAACGGAATTGCACGTCCGGCTCCGGCTGAGCGGGAACCTCATATTGTTGCCGGCGTGCGACACAGGCGGCGCAATTGCAGATGGTGGCCGCGCAGGCGGCGCAGTTGCAGACGGTGACGAGGACCCCCCGGTTGTGGAACGTGGCGTTGGCGTACGCCGCACCGACGATGCAGGTGGCGCACTCGCAGGCGGCCGCTGCACGGGTGTATGCACGGCCGTGCTGCGGCAATCGGCGCAGTGGCATGTGGCGCCGAGACAGAGGGCGCAGGTGCAGGCGACGCCGCTGGCGGTGGCGATTGCGGCGCGGACGGCTGCTGCCCATCCCGCCCGTCGTGATCGTTGTGGATACTAGGGTTCTGACAATATTAATGAACAATGATCATACATGATACTATGTCATAAGCGGGCCTGCCGGCATAGCGGCGTGAACCGGTTAAAGAGCGCGGTGTCATATAAGCCGCGGAATAAGTAGAGTTACAAGTAGGCCGCTGTAAACGGCGTCGGAGGAATACATGCAAATAGCTGGAGCGCATGTTCGTAATAGTGCGCTTTACGAGTACGTAATAAACAACGTAATACAATGATGTCTATCGAGTAGCAAGACTAGTGCTAGCGGTGCACACACTGCACGTCGTTCATGCTATAAAACTATCCTTATGCCGGTATGATTAAAATACGAGGCCATAGATGAGGTACTCGCCCGATGAAAATCACGGAAATGTCACATCCGAGGTGAATCTATACGACGCGAGGTGGGGGTGCTGGACAGGGGACTGGTGTGGGCGTAGAGCGGCGCACTGGGTGGGAGTGCCGGTGAAGTATGGGAGTCAGTGGGGAAGCCTTTGGGGATGGGGGGTCGGAAGGCGTGTCGCAGAGTATTTGGGTAATATCGACATTATTGCAATCACAATTCCTTCATTACATTATTCCCCCACCCATGAAAAGGTTATGAGCTGTGATCTCACAGCGATTAACTTAAAGGTCAAAGTTGTACGTTTTTAGGGTTTTTAGACCCTTTTTTTTAGTTTTTTTTTAAATTTATTTTTATTTTTTATATATATATACCCACTACCAAAAACTTAACTATGCTTAACTAATCTGTGGTCCGTGGTCCGTCGTCGTGGT